CAGTGGTGGGTAACTCACTTTTAATTTCATGCAAAAATATGCACAATAAAGTTATTTAAACACTACAAACTGCAGTCCGCTGAATTAAACATTTTGGAAACACTCTTAATGAGAACTGCTGCACAAGCAAAAAGGCCATTATAGCATCAGTATACATAAAGTCTATTTGGATGTCAAGGGGTTCCAGATTCAGGCTCAGCAGACTCCAATCTGGCTCATTGCTGTGTAGGAGTCAAAGATTTTGTACTTTTAATTATATCTTCATAGGTTTTACAGCTTTTGATTCCTAATTAAAAGACAAATGGTAGCTACAGAAGATTCTCTTTAGGCATGAAATTAGTGGTAGAGATGATCGGACACCAGAGATCAAGGTGAGACAATTGATTTTATGATCTGCTCATAAATTCAGTCTATAGTTGTGATTGTGGTAAAAGGGATTAGTGGATGCACCTTTGCATAGAAACAAGTTTGGGTTTAAGCTCACCTAAAAAGCAGCATTTAGACATAAGTGAGTCAAAGTATTAGAATAATGAAGTAAATGTACAAAATTGCACTTTGTTAAACTTTATTTAAATGCATTTGGCGTCATCGTAACATACAGATTATTTTTCTTAAAAGCAGTTAAACACAAATATTTAAGACATTCAGTTTCCCCAGCTGATGTCAAAAGAAATAACACAATAGATTTATAGTGAAACAAAAACAAAACAAATGAATAAAATAAAGAAAATAAACAAGCAGCCAAACATTTAAAATTCAATAATCATAGATTAAAAAAAACAAAACAACAAAAAACAAAAAAAAAACAGGAAATAAATCAACATTATATGTACAGACTTTAACCTCCTAAGATCCGAAGTCTTCCACAGCATGCATTTTTAATTTCTCTTTGATATGGGCTGATTGGGGCCCGATGAATGCAAAAACAAAGAATTACCAGTTTGTTTGTGTTTTACCTTATTTTTGTTTTTAAGAAAAATGAGAGCCACATATGAGAATATTTGTTTAAAATTTTGATAGAACAGTAGCAGTGTAATGTCCTCGTAAGTGGATATCAGGCCCTTGTAGAGCTAAATTGAGTATTTTGGTCTAAATAACCCAAAATGTGATGTCCACATATGTGGACGCCAGGTCCTAGGAGGTTAAATATACTAAATATACTATATTTAAAATATACTTTAAAATGTCCAAACTGAAGTAAAAAACTGAAAAAAAAAACAAAACAAAAAACCTTCATGGAAGGAAAAGTGAAGCAAAGCCTCACAGATCAGATGGCGGAACATCTGACTCTGCAGGTACATAGAAAAATGAATTTCTTTGGTTTAATATCAATGTAACAGCATTCAGTCATAAATGGATCCTGATGAGATTATTGATTGTCTATAATCCACATTTCTCACTCACGAATCATTATCTACAGTGTTTGTGTTTCAGTTGGTCAGTAACTATAGCGTAACCGCTGATTTCCACATGACCAAAGCTGTGCCTTTTCAAATCTTATTTCAGCAGTTTAACTTTTTCTTGACTAAAATCTGAACTCTCAGCTGTTCCACGTCCATTAAGGCAGAAATGTAACAGATATTTTTAAAGAATGTAAACTGTTGAAATTAAATGAGTGACCAACCTGAGGCTAAAACAAATACACTCCCAGATACCATTTCTTACAATACAGAATTCCCTCATTTATCCTGGTTGCGTTCTGAAAATAACCCACGATAAGTGAAATCCGCGAAGTAGCCAACATTATTTTTTACAATTATTATAGATATTTTAAGGCTGTAAAACCCCTCACTACACACTCTCCGACAGGCATGAACATTTTCAAACTTTGTTGTTTAAACACTCAAAGTTCAGACCTTCGTAGAAAAATAAGTCCAGTATTATAGAATGAAATCAAAGGCTCCCGCAGGTGCAAAACGTGTCATGTTTGTTGGGGAGAAAACTTTCAGTACAGCACTTCAGAGTCACACTGCTAGCGATCGAAGATTTATGTAAATTTGAAAAGCTGGACAGATTCTATACAGGAGACATGGCACAAGAACCTGAAAAAGGTGAACCACGTTATAGGGACCACTGTACACAGAATTAATGAGTTGATTTAAAGCCCATTTTCTCTATTCAACACTGAAGATGAACAAACACTGTACTGTTTGCACAGAGACACACTAACACAGTCTGAACAAGTCAGAGAAATGTAAGTTCTGCATGCCTGACGTCTGTCTGGATGATGAAATCATTCTTCTCCCCTGAGATCAATGATGACACTGAAAAGTAGGAACAACAGCCTGGGGCCAAGATTTCAGCAGGTAAGTTAAGTCTGACATATTTCAAACATGCTACTGTTCAAAGAGAGAACTGAGATAGACTTTTTCTGTTTTTACATTTAGGTTTCATGAAACAAACCAAAACAACAACAACAGCAACAAGAAGCAGAACAGAAACTGGCAGACCAACTTTCAGTCCAACAGATCCATTCTTCTTCTTTCCACCTCCATCCTCCTTCCCTCCATCCTCTGTGTCTCCTCCTGTCTGACCTGCAGGTGAGAAACAGGTGTGAGGTGTCAGCTGTCAGGTAGGTGATAGGTGAAGAACAGAACAGAATCCATTTCCTCTTCAAACTGCTGTCAGACATTATCTACTGCACTCTGATCACATCACTCAGACCAGCTGCTTTCTACAAAGTCTCATCAACAACATCTTTAGAAACAAACATCAACAACCAGGAAGCAGCTTCACCTCTGATCACACACACACTCAACTCTACTCACTCACCTGGAGGATCAACATGAACATAGGTGGTGTTGATGAGCTTCAAACCTCCTCTCTCTTCTTGGATGACACCACACTCGTATGTTCCAGTGTCATTAATCGTCACATCCTTCAGAATCAAAGACACGTCTCCATCCTTCATCTGTCTGTCCTGCAGATCCACCCGGTTCTTAAAAGATGGATGCTGTTCGTCTGGATTGAGCCTCTTATCCCGAAACAGAAGCACATATTCATCTCCCAGGTCATCTCTGCTCCACTCTACAGCACTGATGTTGTTGTTTGGAGCTCGACATGTCAGAGTGACGTTCTGTCCAGTTGCAGCTGTGATGTTTTTCTGGTCTGAAAGAGGAAACAACACATAGCAGAGAGGCTAAAGGTCAAAGTACAACTGTTCACTTCAACAGCGTGAGGAGTAACACACACACTGATAATAAGTGAACATAATGTGTGAGAGAAAGCAGCCTCTCATTATAAGACACTGTGAGTCTCTGCATGCTGCCTTTATGGAGCTACAGCTGTTTGTATACACTGAACAAAAAGCTTTGTAGCTGCATACTGACTCCTGAAACTACAACACATCACACTGACACACACATTACACTTCTTTGTCTCTGTGAGATCTGATCACACCGACATGTTAGGTGCACACAGACTCCACCCAGCCTTGTGTCACCTTCACAGCAGCATTGGGGATATTATTAAAAATAGTTATTATTTATTTATTTACATCTTCTTTTTGAATTACTTTCTGAACACTGTAACTAATTACAGGTGTAGTTACATTACATTACTGCATTACTCCATAACATGGTCTGTAGGGCTTAGTCGACTATTGAAATCGTCAATAGTTTAATAGTCGACGCGTCGTTTGAAGCTTTGTAAGATCCCGAAAGACGCAGGAATAAGTAGTAGGATTTAAGAGTGTAATAACGGACTAAAACAGAAGAGGGCAGCACTACAGGGATGCCAGCTGCCGTTAAATCCTGAAGAAGAAGAAGACTAGTCGACTATCAAAATAATAGTTTGTGGCTTCCCTAATGGTCTGAGATCTCAGTTTACTGGTGAAGGAGAAACTTTAAGCTAGAGTCCCACCACATCTTTCTTTTAGTGTTTGGGCTCCAACAAAGGTAAAAGCAGCCCAACGAGGCTTCAAAATGACTGCCACACAGATTCTGACATAGGAACTGCAGTGGACACTAGTTTTTACTTCAGCTCTTTGTGTGTTATAACGTCACTCTTCTCTGTGGTTGGCTGAAGATCAACAAACAGTACAAGGAAGATTTGCCCACAGACCGGTTGTACCACATACACTGCCTCCATCAACATCAAACACTGTGCAGGTAGATGAGCAGTCTGTCTGCCTTCATATTACTGCACTGAAGTATAAAAGCAGCAAAGCAGTGGCACCTACGGATGCTCTAGACCACACCTTCCCAAAGTGGAGTGCGCAGGATGAAAAGGGGGGGAAAAAAACAAAACGCTTGGACACTGCTAGCACGGGGCGGCCACACAAACGCAAAGCAGGAGATGAAGCATCGCTGAATATTAGTGATGCAACGTTCTGTATTGAGGCTTCGAAGCTTGTGTCGAGTAATGGAGGGGGCGTTTCCGCGATGCGCGTATCGAGGCTTGCTTCATTTATGGGAGGAGCTGAAAATGATGACGTCCGAAGCCTCGCTGCCCGGCTGTACCACGTGACTGGTTCAGGAAGTGGTTCGAACTTTGCCGCGAGCTATGACAGCGATTATATATATATATATATATATATATATATATAATAATAATCTGACAATACTATAATATTGGCCATATTATATTTACATTACCACAGTGAGATGATTTTAGTCTCATGAACAACATTAGCTAATTGTTATTTACTAACTACTCTTAAAATAACTGTTCAGTGCAGAAATGAAGCCCAACAATCATGTTTTACAGTCCTGTGGTTTCAGCCTCAGATGCTCAACTAATCAAAGTGATGTCATGACAAAAATGAATGACCAACAAAACAATTTTCTCCTTCATTTATGTCAAACATTGCTGTATGTAACGTTTCTCGCGGTTAGTATCATGGTTGCTAGGCAACCTGAACAGCGCGACGAAGGCTAGACCGTCCCATTTCACAAGCCTCTCACTTCCGCACTTCTCGTACTTATAGTACGCACCGTACGTAGCACGCGTAGTGCACGTACTTCAAGCGTGCAGACCCTGAATTGGGACACAGCATTAGAGTGGCACCTACAGATGCCACTGCTTTGCTGCAGCAGCTGCCTCTAATCAGAGGTGAACTAAAAATTTAGAACTGAACGATACCCTCGGTATTTGAACTCTGCAGTACATAAGCCTGTGTGCAGCGTACTTAACAACTCGCAAATATGCATCAGTAGCAGTACAGATCAGTAGCCTCTTCCATCTGAAATGGGAAGTCAGAAATTCCTGACTCTTAGTCACAATTACTGTCAAATAGAACAGCCGTAATTTCTACTTAACCAACCTCAACTTCACAGTCCAACATGGCAGCTGTGCACACAAACAGTATCAAACCTAAAACGTGTAATCTGTACTTTCACTTTTGTGGTATTGTGTTAGCATTGTGACGTCTGGCTAGTTACCGATGGATAACCAGCAGAATAACAAATCACTGAAAAATAAAATCCGTGAGATCTCCAACATGTAACAGGTCGTTGGTGTCCATCCACATCCATGGACTCCGCTTAGCTAGAAGCAACATAAATAGTGTTTTCTTTTCTCTTCTGACTCGTACTGGAAGGTAGTTAGCTCAGGAGTGACGTCACGGTACAACCTCCATCAGACCTCTGAGGTTAAATAAGCGTAACGAGATTTTAAATTTCAAGCTTTTACTAATGTTTACAGGCACTGCTGCCATCTTGGATGGTGAATTCAGGATTATCGGGGATTTTCACGGGTGGTATTTGAAAGCTGAATTTCGTACTGTAATTCGTTACCGGGTTACATAAAAATAATTCACGCTCCATCTTAGTTTTTATGTCAGAGCGAAAGTGATTTTGGGTTCTCATAGTTAAATCTCACCTGCAGAGACAAACACGAAGAGACCGACAAACAGCAAAGTGGAGAAAAACAAAAAAGATGTTCGGTGAGACATTTCCGTAGCCTAGCTAGCTAAAACTTCCACCCAAACATTAGCGGACGTCACATCCGTGGCTTGGAGACAGAGTGTACGATAATTTCAGTTGGGGTTTTTTTTGGATAGTTTTCAATTATATCTATATTTCATAATATATTATAATCATGGCGAGGCTGCAACGGCTCGAGACGAGAAAGAAATTAAAAGAAACGAAGGCAAAAACAAAAAACTGAGTTCTCTACTTCCGGTCTTCACTTTTTCTACTGGAATAAAAGAGCTGATGCAGGGTTTTTATCTAAGTGGTGACGCCTACCGTTCAGGAGAAAACTGCAGAAAAATTGCTATGTGACGCAGTCATGTCAGGTTGATTTGGGTTCCAGAGATTCGTATTATTGGGTTTTTATTTACTGATCTGATGATGGGGAACTGGGGTTTAACTTCAGAAAGTCACAGAGAAACTTTGATATCTCAGTGAACTGCAGATAAAATTCGATAAAATCCAAACACTCCGATATGAAAGCTGAGCTAAGACTAGGCTAGCTTTCACTGAGAGTTTGGTTATCTGATCGCTTGGTCCATTTTTTAAAATTTGAATATATTGAAAAAGTAATGAAAAGTAACATAGCACTAGTTTATTAAACAGCAATGCTTAAGCAGTCCTTAGTTTCGAGAAGAATAATCGTTAATCTGTCCTGTTCTCTTTCTTACATCTTTTCTCACTGAGTTTCGCTTCATGAGAAACAGTCCATCCCTGATGGATCAGAAACAATGTTTTCTGATATTTGTTGAGATGTTTGAAACATTTACTTTGAAATTACCTGTCACTTCCATCCATCCATTCTCTTCAGTCTATCCTTATCAGGGTCGCAGGCAGAGCCAATCCCAGATGTCATAGGATCAGATCCATCACTGAAAAAAACAAAACTAAGGTTACTCTACAGTAGAGCTGGATAGATCCTTAATTACTGCAATTTTAACTTGATTGACTTTTTAGCACGAACACGTGACAGGAATGACAGAAATGCAGACACGTCTATAAATGTTTTGGCAGCATCAGCTGGGAGGAAAGCAACAAATTGCAGCCCAAAGATGATCTGGCTTGACATTAGCTAGAAATTCACATGATAGCCTCATGTGACAAATCAACATCAGTCACATGGGTGTATCAAACAGGGGCTGCAGAAAGAAAATAGACACATATGAGAAAAGTGACCGTTTGAACCCAAATCAGCTTCAAATTTTGAAAACTATCCTGGGAAAACGTTCTTACCTATGACCAAAACCTGGAGAGTGGAGTAAGCTCTGCAGTGTGGTGGCAGATTTCTTTTCTTGTGTATCAATCACATATTTAATCATATCACATTAGTTATAGTAATTTCACTTTCTCACTTAGTTGTATGCATGTTCACTACAGAGAGGCCTTGTGCTCTACACACACAGTGAGACCATTGTAAGGGAGACATTAAATAGATAGTGAGACTTTTGCATATCGAGGGATGCGGATGTTTAGGTAGGGGCCCTGTTATAAAGTTGAAGGTCTACAGGCATCCTGCTTGTAGGGAGGTGACGGGAGGTCATAACTTTCCTTGGATTGGGGGGGATTCAAGGATGAGTTGGACTGAAGGTATAGAGATAAATGATGTGCTGTGGAATGTTCTTTGTTTGACAGTGTTTGGGAAGGTATAAAACTCTTCATGGGCGGTGTCTTTCCTCAGAAAACTGTTTGGTGTTTGACCTGAACGTTTTCTCCACATTGCAATGTGTTTATTAAACCCACTTCAAATCAAGCTCACTGGGTGTGTTGCAGGTTATTGTTAAAATTTCCATAGCAGCAGCAAATGAGCATTCCTTTAATTGGTGAGCAGTAGCTTTCCATATAGTCTGTTTTACACCTCAACCAAACAACAAATACAAAATTAAAACATTTAAAACATTGTCTACTAAAGACAAACAAAACAGAAAGCAGAAAGTCACCATAAAAACAGCAACAATAAAGTTAAACTGGAAGCCAAACGTGGAGTAGAAAACCTGAAACTCAGTCCTATGAAAACTACAAAGGAACAAACACTCAATATTGTCAGAAATACACCCCACTATTAGAACAATAAAGCAATTAAAATTGAGCCAAATAAAAATCAAAAACAGAAACCAAACAGAAAAGACTGAAAGAGAAATCTCCAAGGCAACTCAAAATTCCAGGAGCTAAATCAGGGATCATGTCAGAATCTCCAACACAAATAGTGCCCTCGCTACAATTCCTGTTTGTGATTGAGTTGATTTTCTTCTTTATATTGTGTCAGATAAAGTCTGACAGCTTTGAATTAAAACACATTGAAATAATTTCATATGATGTGTTTTCACAGATGAAACCAGCCAACAGTAAATCAGATGCTTCACACTAACTCCACATGACATTCATCTGTAACCAGGAAAGTGAAGCTTTAATCCAGTTCAAATGGATTAACATGAACAATCTGTTAATCCAGTGAAGCTCACAGACTTCAGTCAACCTGTCAGATTATCTAAAAGACTGAAAGACGTCATTTTAAACACTTACTGTTGTTCTGAAGGATCTCTGAAACCCCCAAACATTCTTCTGATCATCAGGATGGAAAAATTATCCACTGAGAGCAAATAGAAAAAAGAAAGGAAACAAACTTTGACGATAGTGATTTGGTCTCTGGCTGCACTAAACAGCCCCAGTGAACAATCTAACCCGTATTTCCTTGTCAGCTGTTTAATACGACACACCTTAGACCAGTTTGACTTCATAGCATTCCCGGAGCTGACTGGATCTGAGCCGTGTATTTGACAAACAAATACCACAAACACACACAGTAGCAGAGAGGAGAAAGCAACAGGAAGTTAATTCTCTGGCACAGGTGGATGTGTAGTCTTTGTAGACTGTCTGTGTGTGTAGAGTTGAGCTAAATGATGAATGAAGGGTCTCATGACAAAATGATAATAATAAAAGTCAAAGGTGTTTTTGTATCCAATAAATATAGACACTAATAAGAGAACATAAATAAAAGAAGAACAGTTAATATTAAACACACACTTTACAGAAAATGTCAAAGGAATTATTCTAAAATATACTATTGTACCTCCAGAGTGTACTGATTATCGTAAAGGTTGCTGGTTTGATTCCGGCTGGAGACACAAATCACTTTAGGACTGTCAGGAAGGGCACCGGGTGTAAAACTCTGTAAATCAAAATAAGGGACACTAACTGCTGTGGGGTCGTCATGTGACCAGGAGCAGTCAAAAGTAACGACTTTCTCTTTTACTCAACAGTGTTGAATGTAACAGTGTTGTTACTTTCATCTGTACAAAGTTTGTGTAAATAAGTTCTCACAGACAGAAAATCTGTGACAGCACCTCCCACCTGACCACTTCAGAATCAGCTGAAGATATTTGTACAATCATTTATTAAAGGTTTTAAAATACTACATATATATTGGGAATTACATACCCTTGCACTAAACAGCAGTGTTGGTTAAATATTTCTATCATTTTGTGCCCTCATAATTATAGTTCAGGATATACATACATGACATTTTCAGGGCTAAAAATCTTTGTTAAACTCTGTTTCCAAGTATTCTGAATGTTGACATTTCTTCTATAAAGATCTGAAGAAATCTCTAAAAACTGTTTTGTGGTTGTGGTGAAGTGACTCACATAAAGAGTGTCACATTTCAGAAAAGCCACAGTTTTGCATATCCTGGTCAGACTGGTTCAGCTGGCAGTGTTTGTTTGTTGTTGGTACAGCTGGACTCTGGGTGTGTCAGTGCATATCATCATACGAGCTTCTGTAAAAGTATGTTCATCAAGGACCAAATGATTAATTGGGTATTTACCAGATACTGATAATGAAATTTTTTGCTTCTTCTCCAGTTTATTATTCCTCCACTGAAACACGTCAGCATGATTAGTTAAATGACATCAGGACAAATGTGATGAAACTCAGCAGGAAAGAAGAGACGAGGAGCAAAGTGTGACCAAGAAGCAACGTCACAAGGTCACATTGTTTCTTTATGCTTGCAGTAAAACAACAACAGAAAATAAACTGTTTACAGTCCGTAAACACTTTGAATCAGTCTCTGGACATAAAGGCCAAACACTGTTGATTTCATAGTAAAGGGCTGAGGATGCTGAGGGAGCTGCAGCGCCCCCTGGTGGATGATAGAAAACCACAATCAACAAACTGACATGACTCAGTTGCACAAAAAAATAAAAAGTTTTAAAACACATCTGTCTTTGCTATCAGCAGAGCTACTGAATGATTACTTCACATTTTGTTGTTATTAGACCAACTTTTATTTGCTATGTAAATCAAGCTTTTTTGTGGGTGGTGACCAACGCTAAATTTGTGTGTATTTAATATTTAATTATTATTTCTTACATCATTCTGGTTCACAGACAAATAATACTTATTTTAATGGAGCTCAATCAAACATGAACACATTCATAAAAAGTGTAGATTCAAGAGGAAAAATAATTAAAAGATTTTTTTAATGTTGCCTTGAGAGTGTAACGTCCACAACATCTCATCTGTTCCAACAGCTTCTCACTGCTCAGTGACGCATTAAAACATTTGTATTATAAATTCAACAATTATCAACATCTACACACTGAAATTATTCTACATTCTGAAAAATATGTGGTATTCTCCTGTTAAACCACTAACATGTCACTGAAGTTAGAACTACTTTAGCTCACAGAATACACCAAAGATATGACCGTAACACAAATGAGAGACAAATTAAATAAATACTGTTCCAACTTACAAGGTTTCCTTGGACATAACACAAGAAAGCCTTTATTTGTCACATGCAAGTCGCCCTGCAGAAAAACAGGCTCCTATGGCAGGACAACATGAGAACAGAAAACAAAAAATCTCCTCTGCATAAAGAGCACAAAAATCTCCACATCACAACAGCATGAAGCACGTGACAAGCAACAGGTGTGGGTAAGGGGTGAGAAGTAAGCCAATGCAGACACAGCTATCCTGCCCTGCAGTTATTCATCCAGCGCTGGGCCCAGACCTGCCATCCGACTCGG